CAACTTCTGCAGGTGTCACAGATAGGGAGCCTGAGCCCCTGCATCTTCTGCACCTGTCGCAGTTCGGGAGCCTGGAAGCTGCCACTGCCCAGCCCGGATGGAGCAAGTGTAGTTGGTAGGGGGGGGGGGTGGCTAGTAGTAGTAGTAGTAGTAGTAGTAGTAGTAGTAGTAGTAGTACGTAGTAGTAGCAGCACGTAGTAGTAGTAGTAGTAGTAGTAGTAGTAGCAGTAGCAGTAGTAGGTAGTGAAAGGTCGTAGTAGGTTAGTAGATAGTGAGTACTAGTAACAGTGATATGACAACTCGGCCCCACCGCCTGGGCATAGGGCATTCTTGCCCATAGTGGTGTCTAAGGGTTTTGAAGTAGGGTGAGGGGTTTGGGGTTTGGGGTTTAGGGGTTTAGGGGTTAGGGGTTAGGGTTTAGGGTTTGGGGTTTGGGAGGGGCAGGGCTTGAACCCTGAATGCTGAAAGCTCGATGTCACGCAAATGCTGCCGCGGTGCCGGCTTGAGCCGCAATCCTCGAAGGGGGTGCGGGCGCAGCTAGGGCATCGTGGCATGGGCATTGCCGGCTTAAGATTTAGGACGCATGGGTTTGAGGTTGATGAAGAGCAAAACCGAAGACCCAAGCCCAAAACCTCTCTTCCTCAATCCCCTAAAGCCGAGCCTCTTTCCGGTTTTGTCTCGGCAGAACCTACGAAAAGCTCTGAATCCTAAAGCCTCAAACACGCAACCCTGAGTCCCCTGAGCCCTCTGAGCCCTCAATCTTTTCAACCCTAAGCCCTTTTCAACCCGAAACCTCAAAAAGCCTCTATATATAGTATAGTATAGTATAATAACATATAATATCACATACTGTGATGTAATATAAAATAACACAACATAGTAGAATATACAACATAGCATAACATAACGTGGCATAGTACCATGCAATATAGCATAATCTAATATAACATATGACATTATTAACATAACATACCATGATACAACAGAATACCACATAGTATAGCAAAATATAGCATAATATAACATAAGGTCCTATAACGTAATATAATATGATACAATATGAGATATTATACTGTCATATTATAATAAAATAAAATATACTAGCTAATATCTGCAAAATCCTCTGATTCCCCCAAGCAGTATGGCACCTCCTCGCTGACGGCCGATGGGCAGCGCACCTCGCGGCTCCGCGTGCCGTTGCCGCAAGAGCTGGAACCTTGAGATTCCAAAGGATCAAAAGGAAAAGGTGGGATAGGGTTTAGGGTTTGGTTTGTGGTTTAGGGTTTCAGAAGAGTGCTACTTGGAGGTTCATGGGTAGTTACAAATGGGGTTGTAAGTAGGGCAACTATGCTTCGAACCCATATTAAGGGACTTATATAACCCGACTTACAACTAGCCATGAACCTCCAAGTGGCACCCTTATGAAACCCTAAACGATAAACCCCTAAACCCCTAAACCCTAAACCCCAAACCCCGAAGGCAAAGGTGGGACGAAGCTGGGGTATTCCTCAGCTAGTTCGTCGTTGGAAAAGCCATCCTCGAAGCTCCCTATGTGCCTCCCACCTTTTGAGGTCCGCCGCGGGAGACTGGGACCTGTATTACTTAAGGGCTTTGGGCCTTAATGATTAGAATAGGGTTTGTGGTATATTATGCTATAATTTAAGGGCTTAGGGCCTTAATAAGTAGTGCGGTTAGAATAGGGCTTGGGGTACATTATACCGTAAATGTAGTAATGAGGACCCTATTCTAATTGTGAAGGCCCCCCTACATTAAGTCTGTATATCTGAATAGTAACATCTCTTTGTGCAAAAAGCAGCCTGCACAACTTTGTTCGTTCACTCCCTCTGCCGTCTGTATCTCTCCCTCCTTCTACATATGTTGTGTTGTCTAAATCTGCCACTTGTTTTCAAATAAATATGTCCCCGAAATCAATTTCAAAAATAATATTTCCCCTATACCTCATAATGCACCCCAAACCCTAAACCCTAAACCCCAAACCCTAAACCGCCATTAACCTCAACAGCCTCAATAGACGTCCTAAAACCCTAAACCCTCAATAGATGTCCCTCAACCCTACATCCTAAACCCTAAACCCCAAACCCTCAATAGATGCCCTAAGCCCTAAACCCTAAATAGATGTCCCTAAACCCTAAACCCGATGCCTGAACCCTAAACCCCAAACCCTCAATAGATGCCCTAAACCCTAAACCCTCAACCCTCAATAGATGTCCCTAAACCCTAAACCCGATGCTCTAAACCCTAAACCCTCAATAGATGCCCTAAACCCTAAACCCTCAACCCTCAATAGATGTCCCTAAACCCTAAACCCGATGCCCTAAACCCTAAACCCTCAATAGATGCCCTAAACCCTAAACCCTAAACCCTCAACAGATGTCCCTAAACCCTAAACCCTAAACCCCAAACCCTCAATAGATGTCCCTAAACCCCAAACCCTCAAAAGATGTCCGGGCCCCAGGCAGCTCGACCACTGGCCCAAGACCCAAGAGCAGCCGACAGTCTCAGAGCAGCTGCGTTCGGCCTCTCAGGGTGTGTGTACATTGTGTGTATAAGGATGTCTACACATAGCTATACATACATACATATCTTTACGCATACATACATATATATATATATATGTGTATATATATATATATTATGCAGGGGCACCAAGAAGTATATATTTAGACATACATGCAGACTTGTGCGTGTGCGTGTGTGTGTGTGTGTTTATATGACATGGACGTATACATACATAATTGTAGGGCTTTTGGCGGTTTTGGCTTCTGGGCTTCAGGTTTGAGGTGTAGAGCTTAGGGCAGTTCAAGGTTTATGGTTTGGCTTGGTTTTCTGAATGGCTTAGGGCAGGTTTGGGGGTTTAGGGCTTAGGACTTAGCGTGCAGGCGAAGTGAAACTAATTCCGCAAACCGTCATATGAATGGTCTTTCGGGACCCAATTCCATAATAGTAGTATATAAGGTCCCCCTGGGTTCCTTCAACGATCGATTCGGTTTAGGGTTTAGGGTTTAGGGTAGCCGAAAGCTTGACCCTGAACGGGACTTCTGGATCAGGAGCGGGCACCACAGGAAGTACAACAAGGCTCTCGTCACGACAGGTACTGCACAGGAGCTACACTACTCTTGTTGCTCTAATACTTCAACCAAAAACCCTAAACCCTAAACCCTAAACTCTAATACCTCCACCAAAAGCCCAAAGTCCGAATATATTCTGGTTCAACCCGGCGCCCTGTCTCTGCCTCCGGTCGCGGTATCCCGGCGCAGTCCCTCTCATCGCCGCCTTCGCCCAGGTGGTGGAAGGTATAGAGGATTTCGGGTAGGATGAAAGTTAGAGGGTTTCCAGAACCACTACCCTCCCCAAACTGAAGTCATGTTTTAAGACATATGTCCAAGTCCTCATGGGCCGGATGTCTCATCCGAGGCAAAACGTCGTCTACACTGCCAGAGGTCGAAGAACTCGAAGAAGATGCTGTGGAGTCATCACCGCTTTCCATAGCCACCTGGGTCCGTTAATCCCGCCACAGGCAACACAAGAGATCTCACCAAGCGCATTTCGCACAGTCGTCTACTTCCTTTGGCAATGCGTGCATTTAGCACTCACCGTGATGTCGTCATCCGGTCGGCTAAGTGCTTGCCTTCACATAACAATCGACAACCCAGAGCAACGGCGGGCACATGTACGCTGACCTGCCTCTCCATAGTGGGCTTTACCTATAGGCTCCATTCTAGTTTCGCTACGGTTGATGATATAAATCCTGCACTCTCCATAATTAGGAAAAACCATAATTCGCCTAGTTTAGGGTCCTTAACGTGATGCAGGATTTCTATCATCAACAGTATTCGGATCCGAGAAGGTAATCCCAAAAAGGAACTGCAATGGAGCCTATAGGTATGGGGCTTCGAGCCGTGAGCGCCTCAACATGAAATTCCCAAACCCCTGGACCCCAAGCGCGTGAAGACACCCGGAACACGCACATTTAGGGTTTAGGGCTTAGGGTTTAATCCCAAACCGCAACCGTGAAGCCTACAGCCCTCATCTTGCTGGAACGCTGTTTCTACTTGGCGGTTCATGGCCTAGTAGTTATGACCCCACTTCCCCAAATAGGGCTCATAAGTATAGTTACCCTACTTAGAACGCTATAACCCCTATGAACCTCCAAGTAGCACCCATAGGAAAAAACCCTGAACCCTAAACCCCTAAACCCCAAACCAAACCCTAAACCCTGTCCCATCCCTAGTTATCAATCATAACCCCCTTATGAAACCCCCAACCTCCCCAGCCCTCATCTTGTCACATAGAACCCCTTCAAGACACCGAAATCCTAGAGCCCAGGGCCTTAACCCGTTGACTCTAGAACCCGCGCAGAACCCACTTAGAGCCCGAGACCAGACCTTATCGAATCCCAACATTCAAGAACCAATCGAATCCCAAAAATGCCACCCTCAACCCTCAGCCCCAAAACCCCAAACCCCTAAACCCAAAACCCCCTAAACCCTAAACCCTGCAACCCGTAAAACCCCGAAACACCCCCGAAATTCTGTGGCCGGCGGCTGGGGCAAACCACTGCCCGGGTAGAAGTGCCCCGGCCGCAGGTCTGACTGCACGCCTCGAAAGTTTGGGCTTTTTGAGGGGTGGGGTTTAGGGTTTAGGGTTTAGTGTTTGGGGTTTAGGGTTTAGGGTTTAGGGGTTTAGGGTTTAGGGTTTAGGGTGTAGGGTATGGGGCTTTGTTGGGTTTAGGGTTTAGGGTGGGTTTGTTGTTGGGTTTGAGGGGTTTAGTGTTTAGGGCATAGGGCTTCCTTTGGGCTTTTACGGCTTAGGTTTTATGGTTTTTGGGATGGTTGTTGGGTTTAGGGGGTTTAGGGTTTAGGGTCTAGGGCCTGTTTAGGTTCTAAGGCTTCCCTTGGGCTTTTTGAGCTTAAGGCTTAGGGTATAGGATGGTATAGGGCTTCCTTTCCCTGTTTTGTTGGCTTTGTAGGGCCTCTGAGGTTTATAAGGGCTAGGGTGTAGGGTTTGTAAGGTTTGGCTTCGTTCGGGGTGTATGGGGTCAAGAGCTTGGGGGTTTTTGGGGCTCTGGGGCTTAGGGTCTATAACCCTAAACCCTCAACCCTAAACCCCTAAGCCCTAAACCCTAAGGGCTTGTAGGGTTTGTAGGGCTTGTGGGGCTCCTAGGGTCTGGGGGGCCTTACTACACCGAAGAAGGTCTTGGAGCACACGCCGAGGCTTCCATGCTAGGTTACAAGAGCTTGTTTTTGTTGCTGTTTACGGTGTTGGTTTGGGCTTTAAGCTTGGGCATGAACCCTAAACCCTAAACCCTAAACCCTAAACCCTTGTGTTCCTTCGGCTTTTGGGGGGGTATTGGTTTCGGCTTTCAGGTTTTAGGGTTTAGGCACTCAGGGTAGATAGAGGCTTCAGGGTCGGAGATGAAAAGGCTTAGGGTTTAGGGTTTAGGGTTTAGGGTTTAGGGTTTAGGGAGCGCCCAGGGTTTTTAGGGGTGTACGGCTTAGAGTCTTGGGGGTTTGCGCGATTCGGGCTTGCGGGATTTGGCACCTTGACACTTGCCGCTAAACCCTAAATCCCTAGACCCTAAGCGCCTATACCCTAAACCCCTAAACCGGTGACACGCCTCTGGATGCCAACACACCTTCTGTGGTTGTAGGCTTCAATCCTTGACCTTGACCATTCTAGTCATAGGCCCCATAGTAGTTCGTTTTTGGGGGGTTCATATTTAGAATCCTATCAGGTAATCCCAAAAAGGACCCTAAACCCTAAACCCTAATCCCAAAAAGGAACTACTATGGGGCCTATGCGTAGTCCGTCATCCTGGACAAAATCCGGTGGAAGTGGCTCAATCCACCGTCCAGTGCTTCCTGCCATCTCCTTGGAGCCCTAAACCCTTAACCCTTAACCCCTAAACCCTAAACCCTAAATCCAAAACCCTAAACCCTAAATCCAAAACCCTAAACCCTAAATCCAAAACCCTAAACCCTAAACCCTTCCTAAGAGCCCCCCCCCTCTCCTTGGAGCCCTGAACTCCGAGCCCGGCACGGACCAGGATGAGGTGGACCAGTTGCAGCCTGAGGACTTTTTCAGGGTTTGGAGGGGTTTAGCGGTTCAGGGGTTTAGGGGTTTAGGCTTAGGGTTTGGGATCTAGGGTTTAGGAGTTTAGGGGTTTAGGCTTAGGGTTTGGGATCTAGGGTTTGGGAGTTTAGGGGTTTAGGCTTAGGGTTTGGGATCTAGGGTTTAGGAGTTTAGGGGTTTAGGCTTAGGGTTTGGGATCTAGGGTTTAGGAGTTTAGGGGTTTAGGCTTAGGGTTTGGGATTTAGGGTTTAGGGTTTAGGGGTTTAGGTTGGAGTTTAGGGTTGAGGGGTCTAGGGATTTTTTGGCTTGAGTTCACAGGGGCTTAGATTTGTTGCGGCTAACGGAATTTCAGGGATTCCGGGATGTGCACTTTCTTGGAGTTTTCAGTTCTTGGGTTTAGGGTTTAAGTTAAAGGAAACCAAAGGTGGGGAGTTTAGGGGTATTTAGGGCTTCTATAAGGCTTCCATAAGGTATACAGACCTTCTACAAGCCTCCTAGAACGGTAACTACCCACCTGAACATGTCCTAGAATAAGTGTTCGGTGCCGCGGGTTCGAGAATTTGGGTGTTGGGTCTCTCCAACATTCTGGATGAGGGCTGAATTGAAAAGAGTGTCGCTTCGTATGGCATGCTTATATGCTTCGAAGAACAGGCTTGGGCTTCCATGGAGCTGTTTCCAGCTCAACTTGCTTCTCCTGGGTCGTAAACTGTGCCGCGCAACATTTCCAAGGAGCTTTAAGGCCCCAAAGGGTCCAAGTTATAGCATAGTATGTACTTTGGGGGCCCAGATACCTACAAAGTAGCTACCATATTAGTACTTGGACCCTTCGGGGGCACGGGCATCTGAGGCACGAACTTGGCGCAGGACTTCCTCCATGACTTCAGTCTGGCGATCCCTTCGTAATAGGGATTTGCGTCTGCGGCCCAAGCATCAACAAGCATCCATCCTGTTTCACTTGCACGCAAGCTGCACCGTGTTCCTAAGGACTTTAGGGGGGACCCCTAATAGGGACCCTTAATCCCATTACCTCAAATGACCACTGTAGAGTCCTTATATAACCCTTATATAGCCACGTATTTTCCATATTAACCCCAATAACCTACAAGGGTCCCTGTTAAGGGTCCCTCCTAAAGCCCTTAGAGTGTTGATGGGGGGGAGAAAGCTTGCGCTAAGCCTTCGAGGCTCGAAGCCTCTACGAACCCCAACCCTTAATCGTAAATCCCTCAAGCCCTGCACGCCTGTCAGACGTTCCCCCCGAAATATTCTCTCTGTCCTAAACCCTAAACCCTAAACCCTAAACCCTAAACCCTAAACCCCGTTGAACTCGTATGTCACGGTTTTTGAAGCAGGGTTGGGCTCTAGCCATAGGCCCCCTAGGAGTTCCTTTTGGGGGTTACCTTATAGGATTCTATATATGAGCCCCCAACAAGGAACTACTTTAGGGCCTATGGGTGGCCCTAAACCCTAAGCCGGAAACTGTAATCTAGGTTCCTGAGTGACCCCTAAATAATAAGGGCACCCTTTTTCCTAACATTCGGTTTTAATAAGGAGACCCCAATATAAAAAGGGCAAAAGGGTACTACTCAGGAACCTAGGTAAGACGCACTGCCCCCAGCTCAGGCCAAGCAGCCGGTGACGTCGTGGCAGCTGCGCCGGTCCAGTGGCCGTGGCACCGCGCTGCAATCCTGGGATCATTTTGAAAGTAGCGAGGTTTAGGGCTTAGGGTTTGGGTTCAGGGTTTAGGGTTTAGGGTTCAGGGTTTACGGTTTAAGGTTTAGAGTTTAGGGCGAACGCATGAAAGATTTGTATTCTGTATCCGTATTACTGTGAAGGTAGCTCATGTGAACCTGGACAAGCGCAAACGCCCTTACTATTAAAACTCATCATCCGGAACACGCAACATTGACCACATCGACTAAAATATGTGGGTGGTAAGTTTTTCGAGCTTTTTGAGAATTCTAAAAGGCTGCGGATTTGGCTTTGGACGGTTTTGCAGATTGTTAAGGGACTTGCTGTGAGTTACATTGTTAAGGACAGCATACATCCCTTGCTCTACGTATGCAAGTAATTTATCTACTACGATGGTATCTTAAAGCTGGTTCCAATGAAGAGGCAAGTCTGGTACTTGTGTATACTGTGTCTTAAGATGCCAGCTTCAATCAAACTCTGACAGAAGGAAGCTCCTACCATAGTTTTACCGTAACATCGGCCAAAAACTAAAACCCTTCTCTGATCACCTAACCCCCGCTATGGTAAGTTCCTTAACAATAACAGTGCTTCAGAGAAGCTCGAGTCTGTTGTAACCCAGAGACCAGCCTAGGGAAAACAGCAAAATGATATCATATTAATATATGTTTTCCATTTTTTCAAGATGAAACAGCGTTATACTGGGGAATCCGCAGCACAAGTAGTATTTCTATTTAAGTTCTATCAAGGCCCACATCTACTTTCGTCAGACGCACAGGCCTACAAGATCATGACCCACTTGTTTGCCCTTAACCTAACCATTACAAAAGCCTTGCCCATAAAACCTTGATCCTTGAGCCCCAACCCCTAAACCCTGCAGCATTGACGATCTGAAATAATTAGTCCCTTACGTGAAGCACCCTTCTAAAAAATACCATTTTTCGGCTCCTACCCGAAACCCTAAACCCGAAGCCCTAAGCCCTAAGCCCTAAACCCTATAAACCCTAAATCCTATAAGCCCTAAACCCCGGAGAGTAAATGCAGCGAGCTGTCGACGTCGTCGCCACTGGGGCAGAGAACGCTGCGCTCTGAGATGCCGCCGCCACAGCGGCTGCCTTGCTCGTAGGGTTGAGAAGCTTAATGTAAGGGCCTCAATAATTAGAATGGGGTTTGGCGGGTTCCTTATTATACATATAACATAGTATACCCCCAAACCCTATTGAAATTATTAAGGCCCCAATACTAATCTGGGTCGAAGCCCAGAGAACCCAATACCCCTTAATTAAGGAATATACCTTAAATTATAGAAGCCTTAATATTATGATTTGAGGTATAGGGTTTCGGGTTTACTTGGAGCTTCATGGGCTAAAAATACTTATACCCATATGAGGGGACTTGTAGCCCCACTTATAACTACCCCTAAACCCTAAACCCTATAGAACCCTTTAAAGGAACCCTTAAAGGAACCCCAAATTATAACTACCCATAAACCTCCAAGTAGGGCTTCAGGGAACCTCCAAGTAATCTGGGTCGTAGGGGCTGGTTTTGGGTAACTTGGGAGCAGACTGGCCAGGGGCTGCTTGCCAGGGCTTCTGCTGGGCGTCAGGGGCTAACTATACTTATAAGCCATATTAGCGGACTTGTAACTCCACTTATAACTACCCATGAACCTCCAAGTAGGATTTAGGCGAAGAGCTTCTCAGAACATCCAGCCTGCGGCGGGCTCCGGACATCCCAAGACTCCAATCACACACATCTCCAGGTGAGTGCAGCCATTGCACAAGTGAAAGTGAAGTGAACATGCTGAACTTTGTGATCAGGGTTGGCAGCAATCGTGAAAATGGCACCAACACTTGTGACCAAGACTCGAGCAATGTGCGTCGGAGCAACTGCAGTTATTATATGGGCCACTGTAATGTGTTCAACTATACCTTCACCGTTTTCACATGGGGACTGACTTGCCAGAAACGGAGTTTCATGCAGAAACACATGATGCAGATGCAGGTACACTCGGATCTTGCTTAAATAGTTGGACCCACCCACCTCCCTGAAGCATGAGCATGCAGGCACACGACATAAAGCGTGGATTTGCACGTATCCGTGACTTCATTCAGGATGCCACACAGATACTGTTTCAGGCGTCTGCCAACAAGATGGAGGTAAGTGGGAGTTTCCGAAAATAAGGGGTACCTTATTTTGGGGTCCTTATAATAAGGATCCTACTATTTAGGGTACTATATTAGGGCCCCCTATTTTCGGAAACCCCCAAGTGTGGTTCGGACATCATCTTCCAGGATCATGTGCCCGCTTCTGCTGCCTCGCGCAGCGGATATGTCGGCAAGTGTCCTGCAGCCGCCCAGCGATCTCAGCGTGGGAATCTGTGCCTGCATGCTTGAAATTCTGTCGTGCCATACTCATTCTGCAAGTCCTGGTTGCATGTATAGATCTAGCTGCTATCTCGTGTCCGCAAGCGAGGGCGCGATCTCGGTGTGGTCTGCACTGTGGGCATGTACAGGAAGCGTCATGCCACGATCATCCATGCCATAGTGCCGTCATTATCATCGGCACTCGCCAAATGTCGCACGATCTCCGTATGGCCACCATGTGCTGCATGTGCGAGAGCTGTTCTGCCATAATGATCCTGCCAATTCTTGTCAGCACCAGCGTCCGCTAGAAAGCGTGCGATTTCAGCATGGCCTTCACTGGCGGCATGTATAAGAGGTGTCATGCTCCTCCTGTCCTGCAAGTCCATGTCTGCTCCGGCATCCACCAACAGGCGCACGATCTCAATGTGGCCAACCCTAGCTGCATTTGCCAGTGCTGTCCTGCCACCAACATCCTGCAAGTTCTTGTTAGCACCAGCATGCAGCAGCAAACGCACCACCTCTTTGTGGCCAATCCGGGCTGCCACTGAGAGAGCTGTCATTTGCGACTGGTACCCATCCACATAGACTGCACAGGCACAGTCCTTGTCAACACCTGCTTGCAGCAGAGACCTGGCGACTGGCAGGTCTCCTCCTTCGGCCGCGTAGACGACCAACTCGTTTTCAGTCTGCTGCCTTTGCTCCTTGCCGACAACGGACATCATCACCAGCTGCAGCTCACTAGTCGCATCGGCTGGCTCGTCATCCTTCAGGCAGCGTCCGTCGCATAAGAGCTGCTGTAAGGACACTGGAAAGCCGTTCAGCTTGCGCAGATGAAGCTTCACTGTTAGCACGTCATGGCAATCCTCCACGGACACTTCAGCAATTACTTCGCCAGAAACTCTCCGCACGCGAAGCATGGCATGTACCTGACTTAGCGTTGCGATCTCGATCCCTGACAACTGCCAAGTCCCAGCTCCTGAAACAAGCAACTATGATCACCAAGTATGGGCTTCAGGTGTTGTGACGCAAGGCGGTGCGTAGATACAGGGCGTAGTGAACATTTGGTGTTTCTCTCTTCGTCAATAACCGAGTCCAAAAAAGTTTGAACTTTCGAGCAGAGGCTAGATATATAAGGCCAAAAAGATTAACGCTCTCCTATTGGCTAGGTAAGGTTTTTCAGTGAAGGCAACAACTCTGAACCACTTTCGGCGGGTCGATTTCGCACCAAGGAAGCCGGCAGTACTGTGGGCTTTCGAGTGTATGGAGAAACCTTAGATTACACTCCGCCCTAAACCCTAAACCCTAAGCCGGAAAACCCTAAACCCTAAACCCTAGGCCCTAAAACCCTAAACCCTAAGCCCTAAAACCCTAAACCCTAAACCCTAAAACCCTGAACCCGAAGCCCTAAAACCCTAAAACCCTAAACCCGAAGCCCTAAAACCCGAAACCCTAAACCCTAAAACCCTAAGCCCCAAAAACCCTAAAACCCTAAACCCTAAAACCCTAAACTCATGGCCAAGTTGCTGCAACCGCCCCATTCACCCAACTGCCAGCTGCACTGCGACGTGGAACGGCCTGGGAAGCTGCAAACAGAGAATAAAATGCCGAGGGCTATATGAGGGGTTAGTGGGTTTACCGCGAGTAGAGAGTGTTGCCATAAGGATCGCATTATGGTTGCCTGTTTGACCATTGCCGACCAATTCTCGCAGCTACCTCTAGCGAAGCGGGTGAAGCCTTCCGCGGTTGTTGTTCCGTTTTGGGATAAGATCGTTCTAACTTAACATAATAAGGCTTTTTGTCTTTAAGTAGTTATTTAGTCCATTTCATTTTTTTGACGAAGAGCGCAGAGTCCTTTGCATGCTTTTGTCGTTCATCCTTTCCGACCAATTGTGTCGCTGACGTTCGGAGGCTCGGGTGGCTTACAACGAATGTGGGTAAAAAAGCTATATGAGGGGTTAGTTTAGGGTTTAGGGTTTCAGGGTTTAGGGGTTCGGGTTTAGGGGTTCAGGGATTTGGGGGTTTAGGGGTTTGGAGGTTCAGGGGTTTAGGGGTTTAGCGTCTAAAGTATTTGTGCAAGGCTCTCTGTAGTTGATTGCAAGATTTGGCGTTTGTTTATTAAACCCAGAGAAACCAATACCCAGAGAAACCAATTTACACCGCTAGAAAGGCACATACGTTGAACTCTATAGTTCGCTGTAGGGCTTCATGTGAAGGTTCAAGCCATTTCTCTTATTTGGGGGCTTTGGGCTCTCTGCGTTTAAATGCTTTCCTGGAGACCCCAAACCCTAAACCCTAAACCCGGAGGGCTGTCGTACGGCTGCCATAGTTCTGCCGTAACGGAGACAACAGGCAGAAGGATCTGTGTTGCAAGGACCGCTGGTAAGCGGTCTGTACTCTCACTCAGCACGAGCCCAGACGCCGAAGCACCCAAAACTACTTCTAAGCCCTACTGACTGCCTGAACCCACAACTCTGAACCTCGAGTATTGTATCCTCCTCTCTTCACCCTGAAACCTACAAGCCTAAACTCGACAAAGCTACGCCCTAAACCCTTAAAGCAGTTTGCCTAAACTGCTAAACCTCTTCACTCTGAACTTGAAAGCCTGAGGTAGAGGTTTGGGGGGTTTAGGGCTG